GTGCCGGAATTACGCCAGCATGCCTGTTCCTCCTGAGTTCTTCAACTTGAGCTTGATTGCTAGAAACAAAAAATGTGCATTGTATGCTGGGTTTTAATGTATGTACATGGAATGTGAGGCACTGTGTTAGAAGGTGGGAGAGGAAAGGATCCAAGAACAAATGAATTTAGGTCTGAGAATGTAGCTCAGTGGAGAGCACTTGTCTACTGCATACAAGTCTCACACTTTGGTTCCCAGCACAGGAAGAAAACAAAACAAGGACCTTTATCCTGGTATCTTCAAATGATGCATGTGGCAGATGGGAAGATGACTCAGTGGATAAAGCACTGGTTGCATAAGCTTGAGAACCTCAGTTTGAGTCCCCAGAACCCATGTAAAAGGGGGGAGGGCTCGGAGGCTACCTGTAATCCATGCACTTAGGAGGCAGAGACAGCGTTCACACTTAGAGCCCAACTATCCTTGCATTCATGTCAGTCCCCCAACTCTTCCTCCTAAATGCTGCAATTAAGGTGGATTACAGGTGTGAGTTGCAATACCCATTTTTAATTGTGCATTTCTGTCTTAAATTTCCTTTTCAAGTTAGGCATGGCTGTCCCTGCACATACTCTCAGCACAGGGAAGGATATGGTAAAAGGATCACTGAGCCCTAGGCTCACCTGGTGATCACCTAGTGAATTTTAGGTCAGTCAGGATAATGTTGAGAGTTTCAGAAAAAGCCTTTCCATGCTGCTTCAGTTGTGCCTGGATATTTTATGTTACTGTCACTTAGTTCAATGCATTCCTAAAAAATTTTCCTAGAGGGGTTGCGTGCAGCTCAGCAGCAGAATACTTACCTAACATGGCAAGGCCCGGGGTTCATCCCCAGCACTGTAAGAAAGAACTCACATGTCTGGAAGATCCATAGCCTACCAAAGAAAGGAACAGAAAAAGGAAAATTCCCCTGACCTATGAGTTACTAAGAAGTATACTGTACAGTTTTTAACTTCCAATCATTAGGAGATTTTTCTTATCTGTAACTGATTGGTTTGATTATTTTGTGGTCAGATCATTCTACATAATTTCAGTTCTTTTAACTTTGTTGAGATTGTTTCATGGTGAGCATGGTGTTTATCTTGGTAGTTTTGTGGGTTTTTGAGAAGAACATCTTTTGGCTATTGGGTGGAGGGTTCTATAAAGACCTATCAGTAAGTGACATCGCTGCTTGATGGTGGTTGTGAGCTGCCATGTGGGTGCTGGAAAATTGAACCTGGGTCTTCTACAAGAGCAGCTAGTGCTTTTAAACGGCTTGCCTTGGCTCGTCTGCTAAGCTAAAGCCTTGGCTCTTAAATATACAACCTGTGTAGGATGACATAGGGGAGATGTCAGGAGTAGAGCTTAACAAAGGAAAAAAAAATAAACAACTTTCTTAAAATTTAAGACTTGCCAGCACAAAACATGGTGTTAATTGATAGGTAATGGACTGAAGGGCCTGTGGTGTAGCTCAGTCATTAGAGTTCCAGCCAAGCATGTCTGAAGTCACAGGTTTGATCTCTAGTACATAGATTACCATATAGACCAAGTATGGTAGAGACCGATGTAGGCCACATGAGACACTGTCTCAAAGTGGGGGAAAAATGGTAAGACTGACTACTAGTATATATAAGAGAGATGTAAACCACAGTTCTTGCAGAAGACTGGACTATTTAAAGTAGTCTCAAAACTCAAATGACAAAACCAGTCGAATTAGAGACAGACAAAAGAATAAGGCATTTCACTGGAGAGGACAGATAGTGTGAGGCAAGGTGATCAGGGCCACTAGCCAGCCAGGAGGAGATGGGAGCTGAGATAAAGTATACCACCACACTTATACTGAAATGTCAAAAATAAAAACTAACACTATTAAAAACTGGCAGAGTTTTGGGAAAACTGGATTTCATACATTTTTGGAGTCCTGTAAATTATGTAGCCATCTGAAAAATGGGGAAGCTCCTTGGAAAACTAAGTATGTGAACTGGAAACTCACATAAAAATCTGAACATGACTCTTTAGTGTTTTGTGTTGTTTGTTTGAGACAACGTCTCTATGTAGCCGAGGTTGGCCTCAAGCTCACAGCAATCTTGCTTTGGTCTTCCCTCTGCTGCAATCTCTAGTATGAACCACCGCTTCCAGCTGCAACTTCTTAAGTTTTAAGGGCATCGTGTTAAGGGAAAAAGGTCTACATCACTACACTCCTGTCTATGCTTATTGCAACACTGTTGACAATAGCTAAGTTATGCTACCTGCCTGTCAGCAGACAAATGGATAGAGGAAATGTGGTGTATCAGCCATTCAACCTTAAGATGTGAAAGTAGAAAGGACCTAGGGTTCTGGGCTAAGAAAGGAAGGGACTTTGGGAGCCGGTAAGAGAGGAATTGTTGGGGAAGACAAATATCATGTATTCTTATCTAAAACCTGGACGTGTGTGCGTGTGTGCACGCACGCGCACGCAAAAAGGGGACCAATACAAGGATAAGAGAGCAATATGAGCAAAGCTGGACAGCTATAGTAAGGAAGGTTATAGGTGGAAACAAGTCAAGTACAATGAGGCATGTGCATGGAAAATCATGGACCAGCACTTTACGTGTGTGCTAAAACGTTTAAAGTCAAGTAAGTCCATTTCATAATGTTAATAATATCACAGAAGTTCGAATTTGAAAATAAGTGACCTCCAGGAGATTGAAGATAAAAAGTCGTAGATGTGACAGTAAAAGATAAAGAAAATCTTTGATAATGGAATAATTCTAAACATTGCCACAAGGTGATGGTTTTATAAGGCCATGTGATGAAATATTCTAGATCTGTGATGAACTCATACATGCATGCAGAAGTTTGGAGTCTCATGGTATTATCATATAGTGATTAGGGGTCAATCGATAGAGTGCACATGATCTGTATACTAAAGTTAAAAAATTGGTCCTTGTGAAACTGCTATTAGCTTAAGATAAAGTGCTTTATAAAAACGTTTTCTCTGTTTAAAGAATTTGTGTGTGTACATGTGGTAGGGAGGTGGGTATATGCAGGTGTCCACAGAGGCCAGAAGAAGGTGTCACAGCCTCAAGAATTGGAATTACAGGCTGTGTAAACTCCTGACATGAGTGCCGTGAACCAAACTTGTGTCTTCTGGAAGGGCAGGAAGTGGTCTTAACTAAGCCATCTCTCCAGCTCCTATAAAAACATTTTTAAAGCCATGTGTAAATATAGCATAAGTTCAAACAAGTTGTAGCCAAATGTTGCCCTTTTGAAGAGAGATCTGTTTGTGTCAGGGTCTCATGTAGCTGAGGCTGGCCTTTATGCAGCGAAAGTTGATTTTGAACTTCTGGTCCTTTTGCTTCAACCTAAGTCCATGGGATTATAGACATATACCACCATGACTGACTCACATGGTAACACATTTGAACTCGGGCCCTGTGTATGCTGGACAAGCAGTCTACCAGCTGAGCCACATCCCCAGATCCCACTTGGAGCTCTAAGGCTGCTGGCATTATTTAACAGTATTTAACACTGCTTGGATATTCAGGAAGAGAAAACGTTTGGTTATTTGGCATGACTAAATTGTCACCTTAAAAAAAATAGAAAAATATGCTTATTAAAAAGACAAGACTCTTCTTTGTTTCATCAAGACTATAAACCCCAGTACCAGTCAGGACTCAGGAGCATACTTTAGTAACATACTATTTGGATGGGAATTTCCTCATTTCTACTGTTTGATTTACTCAGATTTGGTGGTTCTAAATTATAGATGCACAAAGGTTATATATATATATATATATATATTTGAATATGGATTCTAACTGAAGAGGTGTGGCCATCAACAGCAAATGCATATTAAGTTTAAGTTTAAAAACCTCCTGCCTGGCGCTTCACAGGCCGACCTTTTAAATAATTCTGGCTTTAGGGATGCTGTTATAATTTTAGTTGAAGGTAGAGGTTAGATCTCATTTTTCAAAAGAGATCCAAAAATTTCACTGATCATGTACCAGGATGCCATTATGAGGACTTTAATTCCCATAGCCATATATGACTGTGCTATTCTTATCTCTGCTATTGAAGAATCTGGGCTTCAGTTGGGTAACTTGAGCAAGACTGCACCGGAACTATTTCTGGAATCTGAGACCAATACATTCCAGAGCCAAAGCTGGTGGGCATATTAACGAATGTGTTTCACACGTTTGTCTGTGCGTGCGCTTGTTTGACTCATTTTTGTTTCCAGTAGCAGCGCACTTGCTAAAGAAACTAGTTGTCTTTAAAAGTTTTTTTTAATTGCATTTATTTATTGGGTGTGTATTGCTGTGGCATGTATGTAGAGGTCAGAGGATGATTTTAAGGAGTTGGTTCTCTTTGCCTGCCATGTGGATCCCTCAGGTCGCCATCAAGCTTGGTGGCAATTCTTTCACTGCTGAGCCATCTCATTGGCTCTAGTTCCCCTTCTTAACCTTACTAAAGACTTCTTCAGTAGCAGCATCAACCAGTGACGGTCCTAATTAGTATTCTTTGTACTTGAATCCTACTGTTTCTAAAAGCCTCAAGAAACCTGGAGGCAGGGTAATCATTTTTATTGAATCCAGAAACCAAAGCCTTTGTTTTCTCATAACTCACTAATCAGATTATCGCAGTTAGGTACCAAGGAGATACTCTGTAGATGTAAATGCATCCAGTCTTGGGATTATCCACTGTGTAGCTAGGCAAGCCCCTAAAATCACAATGCGAAAGAGTGAAAGGTTATACATTCCCACTCTGAAGATTATACAAAGTTTCAATTCCTCTAAAAATAGTTAAACAGTTGAGAATGAACAGAAAGCAATAGCCCCCACCCCAGGTAAAAGTTCAGAGCTGTAATTTTTTTTTTTAACTGAAATTAAGGCATATTGCTCCAAATTATAAATATGCTTAATGATTTAAAAAAAAAAAAATCAGCCTGGCTATTGTAGGTCCATGTACCAAGGAACCTGGCAAATTGGTCTAATTTTGTCTTCTCTTCACAGGAGTATATCAAAGGGATCTGTGAACCTGAACTGGAAGAAAGAGAATGTTACCCCAAGGCCATGCACTGCATTTTTGTCGGGGCACAGAGCCTATTTTTGAAGAGCTTAATTCAGGATACTTGTGCTGACCTCTGCATTTTAGACACTGGGCTTCTTGGCATCAGAGGAAGTGCTGAGGCTGTGGTCATGGCCAGGAGCCACATTCAGCAGTTTGTGAAGCTCTTTGAGAATAATGAGAACCTGCCCAGTAATCAGAAAGAGTCAGAAATCAAACGGGAATTCAGGCAGTTTGTTGAAGCCCATGCAGACAATTACACAATGGACTTGTTGATTCTGCCTACTTCCTTGAAGAAAGAACTACTGAGTCTCACACAAGGTGAAGAGAATCTTTTTGAAACAGGAGATGATGATGTCATTAAAGTTGGAGGTGTGCGGCCACCAGAATTCACGCAGAATGCTGCCACAGGACTGAGTATTACTAGAGATGAAATTGTTGCACAGGAAGATTCCAGAAATAAAGGGAGGACCCCAGTTTCTGAGCTTACAAAACAAATGGACACAGCCTTTTCTAGCTCACCAGATCTGCTCTTTTTGCCAGTGAATGGTCTGAGTCCAGAGGAAGATGCTCTTTCCAAAGACAGAGTTTGTCACAAGAGGAGGTCTTCTGACGCAGAAGAAAGGCATACCAAGAAGCAGTTTTCCTTAGAGAATGTTCCAGAAGGAGAGCCATTGCCAGATGGTAAGGCATCAGCTGGAAATGAAGTCACTGACCTTTCTGATGCTGCTTCTAACTCTACAAATCTAAGCCCCGATGGAAAAGACACTACAGAAGAAATGGAATACAACATCCTTGTAAACTTCTTTAAAACCATGGGCTATTCCCAAGAGATTGTTGAAAAGGTCATTAGGGAGTATGGACCTTCTACAGAACCATTGTTGCTCTTGGAGGAAATCGAAAAAGAAAATAAAAGGCTCCAAGAAGACAGAGACTTTCCACCTTGCACTGTGTATCCAGATGCCAGACAGAGCCGAAGTGCAGGTGTTGGGAGCAGCACCAATGAGCTCACAACAGACTCCACTCCAAAGAAAACACAGAATCACACAGAGCAGAATATGGTGGAGAAATTTTCCCAGTTACCCTTCAAAGACTCTAAACAGTGTACCTCAAACTGCAGGATTAATTCTTTCAGAACAGTGCCAGCAGGACAAAAACATGAAATCTGGGGTTCAAGCCAGAACTACAGTGGTAATGTAGACCTTGACACTGATGGTCTCTCGCCCTCTGTTGCCTCTTCCAGCCCTAAAGAAGTCAGTGTTGTTTCCAGGGGAGCTGCAGGTCACCAGCAGAGGAGCCCAGCTTTTCCTGAAAATGGTTTTCAGCAGCAAGCAGAACCTTTGCTTCCAAATAATACAAAACCTGCCGGTGAAAAACGTTCTGGCTGTTGTGGCTCTCCTCAGCCTAAGCCAAATTATCCCCCACTTTGTCCGCCGATGCCGCTGCCCCAGGTGTCACCTTCAGTTTCAGATGCACGATTGGCAGGCTCCTCTGATCATATGGATTCCTCAGTTACAGGAGTTCAAAGATTTCGGGATACCCTAAAAATACCATACAAGCTGGAGTTAAAAAATGAACCAGGGAGAGCTGATTTGAAGCATATTGTTATAGACGGGAGCAATGTTGCAATCACGTAAGTCCACTCTGCAGATTATTCTTACATAGTTCTCTAAGCAGCGTCTGAGGACTGCCCTATGCATTCTAATGGATCTGCATCCTTCCCTGGGAGAGGAACCCTTCTCCTTTTCCTGTGGGTAAGAGATGGTAGAGACTGCGAATTTTCACAGTACAAATTGCCTTGTGCCACATAGTATACAGCAGTAGTGAGTTAGACTTTGAAATCTGTGTTAGCACTAGATTTCCAGTACAGGAGTGGAGCTGCTGCCTGCTGCTGCCTTTTGTTTGTGAGAGTCTCTTGTAGCCCAGGCTAGCTACTAATTTGTAGTCCTTGCTTCAGCTTCTTAAAAAAAAATCTTTTAAAAGTATTTTATTTTTAATTAAATGTATACGTGTGTTAGAAACTCAGTTTGTGCATATGACTAGAGTGCCTACAGGGGCTAGAAAAGTGTAGCAGTTCCTGTTACTGGAGTTCTAGGCAGATTAAGCCATCTGATATGAGTGCTGGAAACTGAATTCAAGCCTTTCTTAACTGCTGCGCCATTGCTCCCAGCTCCTGCAGGTGCTGATCCTAAGAGTAATATTCGCTGTTGTTGAATGTCTGTCTATATGGCCTCCTAGGAATTCTAAATGATCTACTCATATCTTGAAGTTTTAAGGATACCTGTGGCATTTTTTTTTTTTCTTTGTCTTTCTGTTCTTAATATTTGGGCAAGGACCTTATATGAATGAGGCAAACACACCACCACTGTGCTCTTTCCCAGTACTCTTTTTTATTTTTTGTTTTGAGATAGTCTTCCTAAGTGGCCCAGGCTGGCTGACCAGGCTGTATTGAGACTTACAATCTTGACCAATTCTCACATAATGCTTATAGTACAGGCATGAAAAATTAATTACTGGCACATGTTTATTGTATGTGTATGAGAATTTTGCCTCCATGTTTATATGTACCAGATACATACCTGCTGTTCTTGGAGGCCAGAGGAGGGTGTTGGATTCCTTGGGACTACAGTTAGAGTTGTAAGCCACTGTGTGGGTGCTGGGAACTGTACCCAAATCCTCTGCAAGAGTTGTAAATACTGAGGCTGTCTCTCTCTAGTCACCTGTATCTATCTATCTTTCCTTCCTCTCCTCCTCCCCTCCTCCCTTCCTCCCCTCTCTTTCCCTCCCCTCCATTTATTTATTTACTATGCATATATAGTATTCTGCACCAGATCTCATTATAGATGATTATGCGCCACTATGTGGCTGCTGTGAATTGAACTCAGGACCTTTGGAAGAACAGCTAGTGCTCTTAACCTCTGAGTCATCTCTCCAGCCAGTGTTCTTCTTTTTTTAATGTACATGCATCTGTGTTTGTGTGAATTCATGCCATGTGTGTGCAGGTGCTGGAAGAGGCCAGATGAATACATTGGGTCTTCTGGAGCCAGAGCTACAGGCAGCTGTGAGCCTCTCTATGCTGATGGGATTGAACTCAGCTTCTCTGAAAGAGTAATAGCGCTCTTAACCCCTGAGCAATCTCTCTAGTACTGTCGTGTGTTTTGTGTTTTTCTTTGCATTAAATTTACAAAGAAATTTAAAACAAGGTGTGGTGACTTGCCATGGATTCACTTAGCAATTACTAGTTCAGGACCGATCTTGCTCCACCTGCACTCTTACCTGCTTTGAATCCATTTATTTTATTTTCTTTGTCTTACTCTGCTTGTTCCCTGTGGTGTTGGGTATGGAATCCAGGCTCTTCTGCATGTTAGTTGGCTCTGCTGCCGAGCTCCCTCTCCAGCTCTTTAGGTGCTTGTAACGAAATCTCAGATATACATTTCATCCACAAGTACTTCAGGATGTATCTCAGACACATTCCATGTTGTTTTCTGGAAATTATTTATTACTCAGAGGAGAGAGGGAACTTTGTATCTTGGTAAGGACTCTCGCCCAATTTCTCTCCCTTTCTTTTGGTGTGGGTGTATATGTCTGTCTGTCCTGTTTGTCCGTCCTTGTCTACACTGAGCAATTCCAGAGCTCACTGCTGGTGGTGAGCAAAGCCACAGAACTCCTCCGTCATGTCCCCTGAGAACTTGGTGTCCTCGGTGAGGTGCCTGCAGCAGCAGCCATGCCTGGCTTGTTCCTGTTACCACGGGGTTAGGGTAGCATAGAACAGTGGCTGCTGACACCGGTATGGTGCAACAATGGAAGCCAGGCCCAATTTTGGTCTTCTTTTATGATAAGCTTGTTTGCCACTCTCCAACCTACCTTATAAGTCTGCCCTGATAACTTTTGGTATGTAGCTTTTTATTTGGAAACATGGTCTCACCATGTAACCCTCATCTAGAACTTGCTCACTTTAAACTCATAAAAGATCCAGTCTGCCTCCTAAGTGCTAGGATTATAGGTGTGCTACACCACACATGGCCTGCTTGTTTTGAGGCCAGGTCTTGCTGTGTAGCCCTTGCTAGCCAGTTATGTTGGCCGGGCAGGCCCCAGAGCCATGGGGATCCTCCTGCTGTCTGTGCCTACCAAGTGCAAGGCTTTAAATGTGTGCAACACCATGTCTGGTAGTATGTAGCTTTACAAGTATGAACATTGTTTTGTTTTCTTTTTTAAAAAATAAATTATTGTATGTTTACATTATGCTGTCCACGGTTTGTTGTTGTTGTTTAAAAGAAGTGCCACCATTTTTACCCCTTGAGACAGGGTTTGTCTGGGTGGCTTTGGCTGTCCTGGACTTGCTTTGTAGACCAGGCTGGCCTCAAACTCACAGAGCTCCACCTGCCTCTGCCTCTGCTTCTGCGAGGATCACATTTTAGATACTAGAGGTTTGGCAGTTTGGGCTGGGTTGCTATTGGTAGAGTGCTTATCTAGATTCCTGAAGCCCTGGGTTTTCCCACGCACTAAGTGGGCCCAGTGGCCCCTTCCTGAATCCCAACCTTGGGAAGGTCAAGGCAGGAGGATCAGGTTGAAAAATGGAAAGGCAGGAGAAAAACTGTTGAGCCTGTGTCCCCGTTTCCAAGCAACACTGCCTGTTATCATCTCACTTTGGTTTTTGGCAGCTCTGGTAGGGGAAACCCAGCAAATGCCCCACAGCTTTAGAGACTTATCTGTGTAAGACTAACAGAGCCGTTCAGGTACCTGTAGTCCAAGACTGGCTCCAGTTCCTCATTGTTAGAAGTTCTTGTGATACGTGACTACACAGAGTTCAAGTCATGGTTTTGAGGAATGTTAATTCTTTTGCAAAAGCCTTTCTGTGTGTGGAAATATTATCCAAATTGGGATTCATACAATGAACACAGATAAACCAAGGCTCAGCACGGTGGTGGTGCTTGTGTGCACGCGCTGCAAGTGTGCTCATGAGTGTGTGTATGTGTGTGTGTGCGCATATGGAGACCAGAGGGTAATATTGGCATCATCCTCTGTTGCTTTCCACCTAGCTTTGTGTGCTGCGAGTCAGGTCTTAAACTGAACCCGGAGCTCATAACCTGGGCTGCATTAGCTGGGCTCCTCCTGCCTCTGCTTCTTCAGTGCCAGGATGATAAGCATGGGCTACCATCTTCACTTTTTACAGGGGTACTGGGGATCTAAACTCAAGGCCTCATACTTGTTCAGCATGGACTTTACCAACTCTCCTGGGGTAGTAAATAGCATCTTTCACAGCAGATGCTATTATTAGACTGTACTAATAATAATAATTCCTAGATAATTATAATAATAATATTATTAGACTGTACTAATAATACACTGTGCTGTTTGACCATGGCAGGATGTGTTATATATCTAATCCCTTCACTTTGCCTATACTGTACCTCCCCAGACAGTGTGACACCCCAAAAATACTACCACATATTTCCCAACACTCTTGGATCTAGTGCTGTTGTTTTTGAAAAACAGTAATTATCACTTGATGTGAACATGCAAGCTCTCATTAGTATATGTTTTTAAATTTGATTGACATATTGATTGTGTGTATATGTATGTCATAGGGAGTAACAGTTGTGAACAACTGGATGTGGGTACTAGGAACTGAACATTATTTTTACTTATATATATATATGAGTAGGGGCACAGGAAGGCTGTGCACATGCAAGCTGGTGCCTGCAGAGGTCGGAAGAGGGTGTTGGATCCTCTGGAGCAGAGGTTATGGTGGCTGTGAACAGCCTGACACAGTGCTGGGAGCTGACCTCCAGCCTCTAAGCGCAGCAAGTGCTTTTAACCACTGGGCCAGCCCTCTAGCCCACTTACTATTTTTGAAAGCTGATTATTTTTAGAGGATTTGACTTTTTTCAAATTTACTTATGTTTGTATTTAAGAGTAACAGGTTTGAAAGGGGTTGTTGCCATTGTGGGGGCACACACCTGTAATCCTAGCCCTGAGGAGGCAGAAGCAGGCAGATCTTTGAGTTTGAGGCCAACCTGGTCTGCAGAGCTAGTTCCAGGATGGCCAAGGCTACACAGAGAAACCCTGTCTTGAAAAAAAGAAAAACAACAATAAGAAGGGATGTTAGCTAGGACATAGTAGATTCACGTGGCAAGTTAGTCTCTGAGTTGGGAATTCCTCAGATCATTGTCCGTGGGCTTCACAGCACTCAAGAGTGCTCCGTGGACTCACCTCAGAAAGACAGCCCTCAAGATGGAGATGGCCGGCTCTTGCACCAGAGCGTCTGTTTCCACAGTGAGTGAAGTCAGTTAGTTAGGTCACCCTGAGCCAGAGCCTCTGGACGTGGTGGGCTTCCAGAAAAATCTGATGAACGGAAGACTAGGGTTTTGTTGTTGTTGTTGTTGTTTGTGTGTTTGTTTGTTTTTAACTAACTTTTTGCCATCATTTATAACTTCAGGACATGATTGCCGTTCTGATCATTGTTTTAACTGAGTCCAAGTATTTTTTTAATTCAAGGTTTTGCCAGTGTAGTGTAAGGATTGAACTTTGGTTCTTAGGTATACTAGGCAATGTTCTGCTTCTGAGCTTCATTCAGCCTGGTACTTTATTATTTCTTTGTAATGCAATCTTCACACTAGTTTTTTTTTTTTTGTTTGTTTGTTTGTTTTTGTTTTTGTTTTTGTTTTGATCAAGAATTGGGTATACCTTACATGATACAAAATGACATGAAAACCTAGACTTGGGGCCATAATGTCTTTTCTCAGCACTTGGACTACCTATGTCTAGTTGAGGTTGGAATATTCAGACCTTATTGTCATTGGACACAGAAGTGCTTCGGAGTGTTCCTCACCGCTTTGACTCAGCTGAGCACCGAGTGGTTGAGAAGGAAACCCTTTAAGAGTAGGGTCTATTGATGTAAAGTGCCCTGAAGCAGCCTGGTTGCACTCTGCCCTGGATTGCTGTTTATTTGATCCGGCATGATATCTGCAGCTCATGTATACTATGACAAATTCCCAAACACCTGCCTTATGCTGCTGATGCTGTATGTTTTTGGTTAATTTTCCCCCTTATCACCATGAATGAGTCAAGTGATGAGTCAGTGGAAATGTTTGCGGTGTCTGGCTCGAAGACATAGTGGCGGCTGAAACCCCAGAATGAGAGCACCTGACTAGTCTGCTTTGGTGATTTTCCGTGTAGATGGGGTTTGCCCATTTGCTTGTCAGAACTGTGCATTCTGTCCACTTTTCTCACAGTTCTTTCTATAGCAGGTTCCACAACCATTTTTATTAAATGGAAGCTAGAAGGAAATCATGCTTTCTTGGTTAACTCTGAAAGGGCTTTCTGCTATTTCCCCACACTGTCCTGTCTGGTTTGATGGCCACTATTGTCACCAGCTCGCCTCTGCTTCAGACATGTTGACTGGCTGCTATAGTGTGAAAATAGCCAGAGAATTTAGCTTGTTTCCAGAGGTGAGGAACAGGAATTCAAATCTCTCTGGAGAGTTGATATACCTACCCTCCCAGGCTCAGAGGTGTTTCCCTGAATGGAGCCAGGAGCCTCAGACTTTGGCCACCAGCGTAGAAGGTATTATATTCTATGCACTGTCAGGGCAGACCACTGGTCTGCACTTCCCTGCCCGCCAGCCTCTCAGTTGCAGGAACCAGAAGCAGCCAGGACTACACACACTTATCCAGCCAGCGTATTAGGCTGAGTTCTTCCTGGACTGCCAACTGTTATGGCAGCAGGGTGGCTCCACTTGGTTGTTTTTGTCCTCCATGGGGCTGAGGGTTAAACTCAGACTACCCCCTCAGCCCTCCACCCATTTTCTTTTTTCTGGAGTTTCTATTTTCTAGATAAATAAATCTTTATATTTGTTTACCCAAACACTGAACCACTGTTTTAAACTCTGGAGACTTTTCAGAGTGAAAAATGTTATGATCTTACTGTAGAGAACACTGAAAATTGGTTCAGCATTAGTGCTTCTAGAAACTGCCTGTCAACCTCTTTAGCCCCACCAAGCTTGTGAGAAACCTGGGGTAGCAGAATTGCTCTGTCTGCATAGGCCCCTTCTTCTTCCCTGACCTGGCAAAATGGTACTTGGTACTCCATTCCCATCCACACTGCTGTTGTGGTTATTGGAAGCATTTAAGGAGAGAACAAGCAGATGCGTGGATGTGGTTTGAATGATACGGAGGCCCTTTTTTAAAGTTTTGGGATCTAAGCAGGCTTTCCTAGGAAGCAGCAGGCTCTTGATTTGGGATCTTCATGTTAGAACTTGAGACTTCATAACTTAATTCCAAACCTGTCTTTGGTATTAACAGTTAGTGTGATCTTATTCTTTAACAATAACAACCCCAGTCAACGCCCTCTTTTTTCCCCAGTGACAAGTGTCACATGGGTACATCCTTAGCATATCAGAGTGAGTTTGCTTGCATTTTGTTTTCTGGAGTAAGATCTGAGAGGGTTGTTTGGTTTTTGTTTGTGTTTGTTTTGTTTTTATGGGTCTCCAGAAAAAAAAAAAAAAAAAAAAAAAAAGAGGGTGTTATTCTCTGGCAAACAGGGAACTTGGGAGCTATTCTTTGCAACCTCTTGGCAACTTAGCTGTTTGTATCCAGCCCTTCCTGCTGTCAAGGGTCAGGGATGCAAATGGGGTTGGCAGCTTACTATGGGATAGTGGAAGGGCTGTGGCCAGGGTAGGGAAGTTTGAGTCTGCACCAGCACACCACTGTCCAGCTGCACACCCCAGGCAGGCTGCTCTTTCTTGCACTCACAGTAGAAGATAGACAAGAGGTGAAAGGACAGGAAGGGCCTTCTCAAGGATTGCATCAGAGGAGCTTGAGCCTTTAGAATGGCTGGAGGGAAGGTACACGGGGGGATGAGAACAAGACCACCCAAGAGCAAGAGTTGGCTGCCACGTGAATTCTGGAAAGTTTGTGTTGGCTTGCTCTCTCTGACCTGTCAGATGGAGGGACCTGGAAGCCAACCCTGGCAGAGAATGGGGAGGGGGGGAAGACTTCTATCCTTCACCTTTATTCAACTGCCTGAAAAAAAAAGGACAGGTTTTTGTTTATTTATTACATTTATTTGTGTGTGTGTGTGGAGAGTGCACACACCCTGGTGCGTGGGTCGCACTTTTACCTGTGGAGCCAGATAGCCAGATGTTTGTTTTGTTTTTTAATGTGTACGTGTGTGTGTGTGTGTGTGTGTGTGTGTGTGTGTGTGCGCGCGCGCGCGTGCGCGCCCTATACATGCCTGGTCAGAAGAGGACTTTCTGATCCTCTGCTACCGGAGTTAGAAATGGTTATGAGCTAAGAATGGATAGTAAGAATTGAATCCATGCCCTTTGCGAGATCAGCTTTAACCGGTGAGCCCTCCCTCTAGCCAGTTTTCGTGTTTTGAAATGTACTGTGAGACTTGGGGAGTGCACTTTTTGTGTCTCAGTAGCCAGAGGTCACCACTGGGCTGAGTGCAGTCCCTTTCTGTTTGAAGAGTAGACTCAGCCATATTTGCCACCTACAGCTGTCTGTGACTGTTGTCACATATGGCAGAGTTGAGTGGTAGACAATGACCACGCGACCTTTACAGATTGACATGTTCTAGTTATGAACTCGGAAGCTTTTCAGTTCCCTGGAAATTGGGTGGTGCACCCACCAACCCATCAGAGGTAGCAGTGACATTGGGCAGGGTCACGTCGTTATTCCTGTCCTCAGGCATTGTCACATCTACTGAGCTATTTTTGCTTGGGTGACATATTCTGTAATAAAACTCATGGGGAATTCTTAGAAGTACACAGGCAGTGAAGCAGTCGTGTAAGCGCCTGGGTGTGATCCCCAACACAGTAAAAAGCAAAACAACAGAAACAACCCCAGGCAGTCACTCGTGATCACATTGGGTAGATGTAGAGGTATACGTGAGTGATGTCAGACCTCAGGAGACTGAAGCATGAAGAGCACAAGTTTGAGTCAGCTTCAGTGGCATACAAAGACCATGTCTTTAAAAAAAAAAAAAAAAAAAAAAAAAAAAAAAGGCAGTGATTAGACAGAACTTAGGAAGAGTAATATTTTTTCCAGTAAAATACACTTCAAAACCCCACGATAATAAACAAGTGTCACATCCAGCTTGCAGTCCTCCACCAAAGCACGGACTCAGTTTGTTAAATACAAGGAAAAGACCCTAAAATACAGGAAGGACTCAATCAGCAGGTCTAACTTGGCTTTTCGTAGTAACAAACTGTACAGCAAATGTGAAAGTAAAAGCATATTTGTATTGCTTTTATTGTGTATGGTTGCTCTTTTCTGTGGTAAATCCTAGACTTTACATATGCTTTAACCTGAAAGAAACTGTCCTTGTTTCTTTCCAGCCATGGCTTGAAAAAGTTCTTCAGTTGCCGTGGAATTGCAATTGCAGTTGAATATTTTTGGAAGCTTGGCAACAGAAACATCACTGTGTTTGTTCCACAGTGGAGAACAAGACGGGATCCTAATGTTACAGGTAAGGCCCGGTGATTTTTCTGTATTTCTGGTTAGATAGTTAATGCTTAAAATTGCAACATAGGGTACTTAGAATAGACTCATGCATGTGAGCAAAACTTGAACAATTCTAACTGAAAACTGTGTGTGGTGGCACACCCCTGTGATGTCGGCACTCAGGAGATGGAGCAGGAAGATGACAAGTTCAGGAAAATCAAAGTCATCCTTGGCTACAGAGTAGGACTTTGAGGCTGGCCTGCAGAAGACCCACCTCTCAATTGAAAAGTGTTATAGTATAGAGAGGAGTGACTAGGGAAGGATGGAAAGCTAGCATAGCTGTTCGAAATGTGTTCCTCCACTTGGTTACGCTTTTGAGTATTTAATATTTTTTAAAATAGTTGTTTGGTACCTTCAGGTATGCCTTTTCAGTAGTCTGATGGCTTACTATGAATCATTTCTGTTTGCCATATAGTACTTTCTGGCTGACCTACAGGCCCCACACAGAAGGTTTGAATTTAATATAAATTGTGAAATATTCCAGAGAAACATAAGGTTGTTTTTGTCTTAGGTCATCATAGAAAAACAGGTGAAGGGAGCAGCCTTACCAGGCCACAGAGGAAGACAATGCAGCTAGTTCTGATGAGACCTAATAGGCTAGGGTCAGATGGAAGGGGAGGAAGACTTCCCCTGTCATTAGACTTGGGTAGGAGCATGGGAGGAGAGGAAGAAAGGAGGGTGGGATTAGGAGGGGATAAGGTGGGGGCTGCAGCTGGGATACAAAGTAAATAAACTGTAATTTATAAAAAAAAAAAAAAAAATGAATTAATTAAAAAAAAAAGAAAAACAGGTGAAAAAACTGTGCCAGGCATAGTACATCAGAGCACCTAGAAAGCACAGAAACAGGAAGTGAAATTTAGACACTAGGGAGGAGGAAGTGCTGAAGCCACTCGATTCTGGAGTATTCCCAGCTTCCTTTATTTGGGAGAAGATATGTTGTTACAGAAGGTCCCCAAGGAGCAAGGCAGAGGCACACATTTTCTAGCTAAGTCTCAGTGCTTGCGCACTCTGTGGCTCTAAGGCAGGGAACCTTCCTTTGGGCAGGTCGGTTGAGGTCACTGGCAGCTGCTTTGGTGAGAAATACAAATTTGGGAATCTTCTGCTTAAGCTCTCAGCTTAGTTCTTGTCTATGACTTACTTTTCCATGGTGGCATTGGCCCTCCATTCTGTCACTGTGCACACCTGTGAACATCAGTCAGCACTCCTGCCGGTCAGTAAGAGTGATGAGGAAAGGAGGTCACAGCCAGAATGAACGGCCTTTCCTGACTGAAGCAAAACAGCTTGTCCCTCCTACTGCCTCTACTTCCAGAGGGCTCTTCCCCTCCTGCTCTCAGCCTTTTGGGGACTCTTGTCATTTCTTTTGTTGTATTCTACTTGTAATATATACCTTTTAAAATGTTCTTGGGAGCAGGATTATTTAATTACGGGCTTATGGTTTAGTCTTAAGAGGCAAATGAGTGACATTTTGTTAGTTTGTTTAAAAACTACACAGTCAGTTCATAACTTGCCTTAGTGTGACTCTTTGATTTCTTTCTTCTTCTTTTTGGTGAGTTAGTAAGATGGAGTAAGTAGGGAAAAGAGGTTTTCTGCAAGCCCCCAAGTGAAATATTTTGGTTTGCATTCATTTATTTACACATCTGGGAAGATAGTCTTTGCTGAATACATATTAACTTCTTCTGTGAACAGAGCAGCACTTCTTAACCCAGCTCCAGGAGCTTGGAATATTATCTTTAACTCCTGCCCGGATGGTCTTTGGAGAGAGAATTGCTTCTCATGATGACAGGTATGAAGGGCTGTTTTTCTTCCCAAGGTGGGAGTGGGGTGGTGAGCCAGCTACCTGCCCACCAAATAAGTGCACCCTCTGAGGGGACCGGCTCGACTCGGCTTCAGACTCATGATCAAGGTCACTTACACACACTGTGTGCTCAGGTTGGGCACAAGAGGAACTTGTGGGAATTTGGTTTATTTCAGTAAAACATGTCTGAGATGAGAAAAGGCAGATATCCATAGTTGTTTTCCTTGAGACAGGGTCTCATCATGCAGCCCTTGCCTAGAACTCACTATGTAGAACATAGATGTAAGTGGATCTCTGTGTTTCAGGCCAGCCAGGGTTACATGGTGGAATCCCCACCCCCTACCCCACCCAAAAAAGGAAAAATTTTGATTCCAAGCTTACCCAATCATATGTAGTTTTTGCAACTCTATTCTGGTGTAATGTCAGTAGTAACAAGTGTGGTGTCTGGGATCCTCAGACTGTTTTTTCCTTCTTCTCTGCACTATTCTGTCCATTTTCCCACTCCTCCAATAAAAACGGTGCTTTATTTGTTTCCTGAGCTGGTAGATGGGTGAATGGGAAAGAGGTGAGTTGGGGCTACAGTGGATATCCATCCACTCTCTGAACAGGCATCTCACCGACAGGAAGTTAGATGGGGTTGATCCAAGGTGCTATCAAAGAACAGTGTGAGAAGAGCTGAGCGAGGGCGGCACATGGTTCAGGAGCAGCCCCAGAAATCTGTCCTGAAAGAGCAGTCGTTGTCAGCCCTGTGACAGGCTTGAGTGCTCAGGTGAAAAGGTAGTTACAGGTGGGCCTAGGAGAAGCCTTCAGGTGCTCTACCACCACAGCTGTCTTCTCACAGCCGAGTGAGTTAGGCCCAGGTGCGGTCATGCAGGTGAAGCTTTGGCTTGGTTCATAGCTCTCTGGGTTTCAGAGAACATGGGTGAGTGCCCTGATGTATAGTATGAGAAGCTTCCCTGTTGACTTTTATTGACATTTGGGCAAACAGGAGCACCATAGAAATTCATGGCCTTTAGAAATAAAACTGAAATGTTCATAAATAAGGAACTTAGCCTACTGTGATGGCTCAAACCCATAATCTCAACATTTGAGAGGTAGAAGCAGAAAGATCAGGAATGCAAAGTCATCACTAGCTGTATAGTGAATTCTAAGCTATCCTGGAATAGCCTGGGGGTTGGAGGGTTGAACAAAAACAAAACTCCCCTCCAAGGTTCCCGAGATCTTGAAAGTATTGAGTTGTTTTAATCCCACTTAAGGGCCACTGCTAAAACTGGGCGCCGTGGCGCACTTCTGTAATCCCAGCACTTGGGGAGGCAGAGGCAGATGAATCTGTGAGCTTGAGGCCAGTCTGGTCTACAAAGCAAGTGCAGGATGGCCAGGACTGCACAGAAAAACCCTGTCTTGGGAGAAGAAAAAAGAGCCACTGCTAAGAAGAGCATCATTTGTACCTTTGACTCCAGTGATCTGCTTCTTTCTTTGTTTCATTGTTCTTATTCAAGAAATAACATTTCCATTATCTCCACAAAGTTTTCTGTTTTATTTTGCTTTTTAAGATAGGTTCTCACTATATAGTCCTTGCCTTCACTCTCCTCAAGTTTTCCCTCCACCCCCCATCCACCTACAAAGATAGCCCTAGCCTTAGCCAATCTGTTCCTTTTTTCTCTCTTCTGTGACTCTAGCTGTTTATTCTCTCCTTTCTACAATAAAAACTTCCTCCTCAGCCACGGAGAAGTCCATCTTCATGGATTCTTTACTGTGCCCTCCCTTACACTTGCCTAGCATGCCAGACCCTTAGTTTGGTCCCAGCACTGCTAAAAATTTTTTTTAAATGTAAAAACTATTTTATTACCATATGTCCTTTCATAACTGAATGAATCTGTGGTCATTCTAATGATGTCTTCTTAAACCAAAGCAGAAAATGGATTTTTTTTTTTTTTTTTTTAATTGCACTGCTGACTCTCAAGTAACTAACATCGAACTAAACTCAGGCAGCTGAAAGCTGATTTCACAGGCTGGTTACCTTTAACTTGCTCGAGCCTTCATGCACTGTTACCACAGTTTATTGCACTTTCCTAAAAAATGCAGAATCGTAGTTAAGGTTTTTTTTTTTTTTTTTTTTTTTTTTTTGTAGAATTAGATAGCATGAATAAGTTGTTTTATAGTCACACTAATAGTCCCAGAGTTACTCACCATTCTGAACATCTTCAGTTTTGCAGGGCCTAACTCTGTGTGTCCAGCCTCAATTAAACTGGCAATTTCTTAAGAAGAGGAAACCCTTTCATTTTCTTAGCACAGCTACCTCATCCATGCTTGCTGTTTGCTCATTTTGAATCCTCTTGTTACCATAGGTTCCTGCTACACTTAGCGGACAAGACTGGGGGTATAATTGTAACAAATGATAACTTCAGAGAGTTTGTGACTGAGTCAGTGTCCTGGAGAGAAATTATTACAAAAAGGTAATGTTGTCTTCTTTGCTTTGGTCAGAAGTTTGTTGTTTGCATTTTATGTGGCTGCTGATTGCAGGATTGGTGGGCCTGGTCAGGGTGGGCCTCATGCCATCTGCGGTGTCAGCTCTGCCATACTGTGACTCAGCAAGGGCTTATGACAAAAACAGTATGCTGAGGGAAGGGAGTGCTTATCTGAGGGGAAGGGGGTGAGTCTTTCTGGTTCTAGTTTCAGTGTCTGGTGTTTTCCATGAGTTAGTGCGCAGATTCTTCTTGCTGATGCTGTGGATGTGTTCAGTTGCTGAACTGCTGAAGAGCAGTGAACACTGGGTTCCACAAGCCCCCAGAAGGTCTGTGCACTTGAGCAGCTGCTTCACACAAGCAGGAGCACTGTGCTGTGATTCCAGGGGTAAGACACACGCCCATCTGAACCTTGAAGGGAATGTGTCAACATTGTTTCTCTTGGGATTTCACAGTTGGCCTGTGTCTGGTAGATATGTCCTTATAGCTTGCTACATCCTAACAGTGTTTTTGGAAAAGCTTGGCTTGGGCTGATAAGAAATGCCAAGCCTGAGGACCTGAGGTCAGTCCTGGGAACCGCTCTGGGTTGCTCACCAACCTCCTGAAGTAGCTCCTGTCTGCACACAAATGCTACAATGTAACTTTAGACTTTTAAAAGACAGAGAAAGCTTGGGTGTGAACTTCTTGGAGGAAGTTAATTACATTTTGACCTCTGTGTTGGTGAAAAGATCTTAGTGATGGGTGGAGGAGAGTCGGTCTCTGACCGGTGGTCACACGGTGGATGAGCTGCTAAACTTCTGGGACACTGGTGTGAGTGAGACACAGGACCGCACATGAGGCTTAAACCGCAGCGAGCCTCACAGCAAGCCACTGCTTTCAGACTTCAGAGAAGCAAACCACAGACATAGGCAGGAGGATTTTCTGTTTTATTTATTCATTTATTTGAGATAGAATTTCACTGTGAAGCTCTGGCCGGCCCGCATCACATGCCTCTGTTTTGGAGTGCTGGGATTAAGAGCATGTACCTTCAAGCCCAGCCACTTTTTTTATTTTGCTTTTTTATTTTTGTAAGGTGCTAGAATCTGGGGCCTCAGTTGTGCCCGGCCAGGCTTTCCTACTGAGCAGGTCCTGGTTTCAACATGTCCGACATGAGTAATGCCTGCTCAACCTTTGGCTTCTCTTCCGAAGATGTTTTCTTTTTAAAAAAGAGTATTTTCAGCCGGGGATGATGGTGCACACTATGATCTTGGGAAGGCAGAGGCAGGTGGATCTTTATGAGTTGGAGGCCAGCTTGTCCACAAGTCTGGTCTAAGACAGCCAAGGCTACACAGAGAAGCCTTGTCTCTCTCTCTCTCTAGTTTTTCTCCCCCCTCAACCCATGAACACATTTGTTTCCAGTTTCACTTAAAAATTAAAATACCTGCTAAGTCGCAACAAGAATGCTTTAATGGTGTTTTTCATCTGGCTTGCATCTTTTTGAGATATGTGAGAAGCTGAGAAATGCTTCTTGCATGACTGTGTCCTTAACGGACATTAAAAGGATTTTACTTGGATGTGGGTTGCTTCCCCTTCGGGTAGTTAATAGTCAGAATGCCCTGTTTCCTACAATAGGGAAGGGTACTGTTGTCAGCACTGTGACCGTCTGTCCTTCTGTGTTGTAGACTGCTTCAGTACACATTCGTGGGGGACATATTTATGGTTCCTGATGACCCGCTGGGAAGAAACGGACCTCGGCTAGAAGAATTTCTTCGAAAGGAAGTCTTTCTTAGGTATTTTTTTTTTATTCCCTTGTATGTCAAAGTTTATTGTTTCAACCACATGTTGTGATTCAGACAAGGTACTGTCCTTGAAAACTGGAAATGGCACTTAATTTTTTAAAAAGCCTTAATTAGACTTAATGATATGTGACTGCTGTGGAAGTGAATCAAGCAATCATTCCAAGGCTGTTCTTCAGTGTGGACTTTTCCAGTTTTCCTCTGCCTACCTGCCTGCCTGCCTCCCTCCCTCTTTCCCTGCCTTAGACTGTTTCTCTATGTTGGCAGGGTGAACTCAAGCACAGATCCTTCTGCCTCTGCCTCCTGAACACTGGGGGTCCAGGCCTGCTCCCCTCCTTATTTTAATCTTAAGAGAGCACAACCATTTCTGAGGGTCTTGGATCAGTCGATGTTCAAGCTGGTGATAACTTGCCAGCCAGTGCTGCATGGTTCATTGTGAGGGATGCCTTTCCATGCACTTTCTGGAGTTCTTTGTTCAGAGTGCGCAGTGCTGACGTGTGCGAATGTCCTGCTCAGAAATCACTGCAAACAGGAAGCAAACAGCTGCAGTGTACCATCACGAATGGAAAAGCCCGCCATGTATTTGTCTGACACTGACTGACAAGTAGGGGCTATTTCTATGTTCAGAATTCTCAGGTGACCTTGTTAGCCACAGCTTCCTCATTGCTAACTAGGCTTTTTCTGTTTTAAAACCCAAATCAGCTTTCTTTCTGTGCTTTCTGTGGCCCTCCTGGCAGATTTCTGCATAGGGTTGGTCTGGGTACCTAAAAGGAGAAGGCATGCTCTCTCCCAGCTTTCAAGGCTGCTAATCTGTCATTTGTGTGGTTGGGGACCATCAGTTTGAACTTGGAGGTACGCCGAGGTGGATTGGTTTTTATACAGGTTATCTTCTCTAATGGAAACCAGCACACTTTCAGCTTCCTGCTCTTAGGATCATTTTTCCCTGAGCCTGAGGATTTTATCACAGCTGAGGCAGTAACTCTCAGGTAGAGCTGTGTGCCCATACCAAGGGTATGGCAGCCTGGTATACTCACCCCTCTCCCCCATGCCTTGCATTGGAAATCCTCATAGCATTTTAGGCCTTAAGGCCTGTGTTTGAGGCTATGTGTGGGCCCTGTGCTGAGCCAAGGCCCAGGTCAAGCTAGAGGTGGATTCTTTGCTACCTGTTCCACTCCTTCAGTAACCTGGTGACAGGATCAGCCCTTCTGGTCATTTTCCCTCCCACCTAGTATTATTTTCAAAGTGCTTGGTGGCCAGTTGCCATCACTCCTTCATGAGGGGATGCCACTAGGGTTAATGGAGCTTTTGCGGGCTGTTGGGTTTCTGAAGTTGACAGCACTATTTCCCGTTCTCAGCTACAGCTAGAATTGATGGGGGTTGTTGAGCAGCACAGATGTACCCTGTATGCACATACGGTACCTTGTGTATGTACATTGAGAACACACGGGCCTAATCCAGACTTCACTGGAGACAAGGAGTCCATGAGCCTGTTGGAGTTGTCTTTTTACCTAGAGGGATGCCTTTCCCCAGTTCTGTTAGCTGACTCTTCCCAGAATAAAATTCTCCAAAAGAGTAGAAACCTTGCAGAACCAACCAGTGTGGCCAGCCCTAAGGCAGCAGACTGAGGAGGGGTTGTCTTTCCAGGGGTGCTCGCTCCCCCGTGGCTCTGGTAATGGTACTGAGTGTCCTAGAGGTCACTCTTTGGGGGCCTTCTGAAATCATAAAGCTGGCATTTAGACCCTCAATGTCAGCCATAGGTTCTTTAAAAGGGTATCTTACTGCCCCTCTCACCATGGCTAACTTCATCCACAGAGACATGCAGCCGCTACTCAATGCTCTGCCAAGTGTGGGCACGTTTGACCCTGGCTTCCGGAGCTCCAGCACCCAGGTAGCCAACACCAGCCACCAGCCTCCACCCCGGATCCAGGGAGCCTCTTCAAGCCCTTGGCTTCCTCAGCAGCCCCACTTTACGCCCCTGGCCACCCTTCCCAGTCTGCAGCAGAACCTTCCCATGCCAGCACAGAGATCTTCTGCAGAGACCAGCGAGCTGAGGGAGGCGCTGCTGAAGATCTTCCCTGACTCTGAGCAGAAACTGAAGATCGACCAAATCCTGGTAGCTCATCCGTACATGAAAGACCTGAACGCCCTCTCTGCCCTTGTACTGGACTGAAGGCTGGGCTGAGAGTCCACTGATGATGGGACCCCCGAGGGAGCTGCCGCCTGTGGGAAGTACCCTAATGTGAAGTCGCCTTCCCAGAGTGAACATTGCTGTGTAGTATAGGAAAAAGGAGGGAGATGTTTTGTGTATACAGAAATCTGGGTTTTCAAAGCCAGCCTTTTTCTATATATAAATTATGCTGCTATTACAGATTTAACATTTTCTGTCAAAGGAAAGTACATTTTCTGCCTGTTCAGAACTGTTTAATAGCAGTTACTCTTGAGTGTATTTACTATTTTATGTTTTTTAAACTATTTTCCTTAAAGCTGAAGAAAAATTGACAAATGAGTATGGTTAGCCTTTCTAAATAAAATTAAAAAAAAAAAAAAAAAAAAAGAGTTGCTTCCTTAAGGAAAGCAAGACCTCTTAAAGTCTATTTTCTTGGTGATCTGTCCTGTCCACTAACATGGTGTGTGCTCCCTTGCCTTCCTCCCTGGAGCTGGCCTGCTCTGCTCTGTGGGCTCCTGTCAGCAGGCCACTGTGAAGAGTGGAGACAGGAGCCACTAGATGGCACTGGGTGCCTAGCTGTCACCAGTGCCAAGACAAAGGCACACTTGGAAGAGCAGGTGGGAAGACTTAAGAGTCCATCTGGCCCCACCTTCTTCCCTCTCCACCGGACAGAGAAGGGAACTGAGGCCCAGCATATTCTCTGACTGGCCTAGCTCCTTAATGCACTCACCAGCCGAGGCCACCATGCTGCCAGCCGGGCACCACAGCTACTGTACCCTCAGTAGGTGAGGTGGGGATTGAAGCACCTGGTGAGGAGACCCTATGTGGAGTTTGTACAGCTTTGCCAAAAAGTTTTCTATTCTCAAGGATGACCCAAGCCAATAAATAGCATTAGTAGTTTCAGAAGGGGTCCCAAAGCCCCTGTATTTCCCTTCTTCTGTCTTTAGAGGTCTCTTAGCAGCTCTTCCTGAGTCTTTCAAAACCAGTTATCTTGGTTTTGTCTCTTCTCAGTGTAGCTTGAATTCTGTGTCTGTGAAACTCTTCCTGGTCATCCTTAGCATCTTGACTCTCACCTAGACCTTCAAAGGGCTTTGTGTTTTTCATTTGTGCTGTCTCTGGGCCCTCGTGGTCAATTTCACTGCCCTGTGGATTGTCTTTCTTCCTGCCCCCCCAAATAGTAACTGAGGACTTGGTGCTGGTTTGTTATCCGTGATGCAGGGACTGTGTAGATCACAGAATGATGCCACCACGCATGTGCCGTGGTTTCGCTTGATCCCTGCATCCCTTAGGAGACAAATACAGAGCCTTCTAGGTGGCCGCACTTGTACCTCAGTCATGTTCTCTCCTGAATGTGTTGATGATGTAACCTGCTGGGGAGCTGTCATCTGTCAGGAGGTAGTTTCAGACTTGCTAGCTGTGCAAGTAGAGAACAAAGACTTTTGGCCAGCTCCCCACTCTTGCCCCTACTTTGGAGCATAGCAGAGGTGCCGAGGTGGAGCTGTCTGTAGGGCCTCCTGGTGCTCCACAGTTGCCTCCGCCTGATGCTGGCAGGGAGGAGCACAGGCTTTTTAAGGCTCTTCAGGCAGCCTGATCTCTGAATTGTGTGAACCTCCAGGTTCTTAGTATTGTTTCTGAGAGATATCTGCCCATTTCCTTTTAGTTCCATATAGGAGGGAAGAAAATGCTGGAGGAAACCGAGAGGCATTAATTACTTTGTAGATTATAATATGAAATATAATTCTAGATTCTTTGTAAAATCTATCACATTTAGGTGTATGTAGCATTTAAAGCCTAGCTATTCAGCCACTGAAGAAAGCTCACAGCTTGCTTCTCTGCCTCATTCCAAGCTCTGTTGCTGCTAGGTGCTTGTAGATGCTTTACCTGCATCCCTCAGTGCCTCCTCAGTGGACCTGGGAGTGTCTCGGAATTCCTCCCTGTGTGGAGCTCCTCTGCCTCCTGTGTGTCCTGACATTTGGGTGAGGTTGTCAGCCCTGCTGAGGCTGACACTTCTGGTCATTGGACAGGGTGTCTGATGGACTTCTAAGGGGGGGTGTGTGTGTGCGTGTGTGTGTGTGTATGCTCATGTGTTGTTGCCATAGCTGTCCTGGTCCAGTGTGGTTGGCAGGCTCAGGTGTATTACTAGGACTTGCTCTGAGACAGGATGGAGTTGTGTTTATATTGCCTTGTGAACATGTAAGGCATGAAAGACTACTCCACCCCTCCTTGCCAGTGCCAAGTAGCTAGTCCTCCCCCTCGTAGGAGCAGCTGCTGTAGACACTGCCCTCTGCACCAGGCTTGCCCAGGCACTGGCCTGCCTTCCACACCTCTGCAGTGCTGCCCCATCCTCAGCATCTGAGCCATCTCAGCTGGGTCCACCTGCACTGTTACTCCCTTGATATCTCCAATCCCTTTAGGTTAACCCGCCATGCATTTTGTTGCTAATGCTTTAACTTTCCACTTTTTCCCTCCCCAGTTTGCAAACCTGGCTTCTGCCCACCACAGGTGAGCAGCCTGGGAAATCACTGGTTGCTGTTTCATTGTTAATGTAGTAGCTATAGACAGCAAGGCCTTTGGCCCTATTTTCTCCGTTTTCCTTCTAGAGGCGCTTCATGCCAATCCTTAATACGGTTTCTCAACCAGGTAGTTCTCAAACGGGGCCACCCGTAGGTCTCACGGTGGAAAGGGCAGCTCATGCTAAAATGCAGGCTCTCCGGCACCACCCTGAGGACATGTGGACTCTAGAGGGAAACCTGGAGGCTTGTCACCCCCACACACCCTGAGTGGCTGCAGTAGGTGGTCTGGAACTGTGCTTGCTTAGGAGTCTCCATTCTCACTCCATCCTCCACAAGGTGACACCAGTCCTGTTACTAGCCCTGTGTGATCTTGGCTCCCAGAACCTCAGCCTGCATCCTGTCACCTCTCACCTAACCCTGAGAGCTCGCTTATATCCTTCTTGGCCTTGGCTTGCTACTGCTCATCACTTGTTCCCACAATCCTCCATGACACTGGTTCCTTAATGGTTCCTCAACACTAAGCCACTTTATAGCTCTTCCCTCTCCCAGACTCCACAGGGCCCCAAGTTCGTCCTCTAGAGGACCATTTTGCATCATGCTCTTCTGATCTTCTACACAGTATCCAGCTCCTACCCTCAGTCTAGTGTCACGGCTATTGCTCCATGGGCATACTTGACTGTCCACTTTCTATCCCTTGCCATGATGTTCAATCTAGCCACCCAGATCTAGGTTCTCCATGGGCCCTGTTCACACTTATTTCTCTAGAAATGCTCTTCTGCCCTACAGCCTGCCTCCTCAGGGCCCAGCCCTGAGCCCTCCTCTGTGCCCTGAACAGAAGCAGCCCTATGCTATTCTTCATGTCTCCCTTCTGGCTCTTTCCGCCCTGGCAGGTGTAGCTGCAGCCAACTGTGTACTGTGTTGCCTCCCTCTAGACTGTGAGCTCCTCGCGGGCAGGGACCATATGGTCAGTCTGTATCTCTTGTGGCACCTAACAGTGCCTTGCACTTGGTAGGTGCTCAATAAATGTCTGTTCAAGTGAATTGGACGATGGTGCTTTCTTGACTTGGGTTTGGCGGAAGGTCCCTTGGAGGACCTTTGGTGACCATGTTTTAGAGATCCACCTCTGTTAGGTTTAGGGGTGGGTTTGCTTGCCTGGTTTGCATGGCCCCTTTTGTAGGGGCTTCTGCACATGCCATCCTGGGCAAAGTTGCTCGGATCTAGAATTCTGACCAGATGAAACCATCCATACCAGATAGTTGGCTTAGGCCACTCCTAACAGGCTTCCTCGGGGATTTTTCCCATCATGGGTAGGGTGCCATGGGCTGATCGATTCACAGCCATTAACACCATTTTCTGCCATAGGGAAGAAATACGAGCAAGAGACTCATGGCCCTGAGTTCTGAGCTCCCTTTGTCAAGGAAACACTTTCTCAGATGTCACCAGGCCCAGGAGTCTCTGAAGTGTCCCCTGGTGCTGAAGCAGTTTCATGTTGGAATTAATTCCTTGAAATCAGGTGTCTACTTTTGAGTGAAGCACCTCCCTGTCCTTAATAAAGCATGCAGATGGGGGGTCCTGAAGGCTTGTGCAAGCAGCACACTGTGTGTCCTCCTCAAGAGTCCCACCCTCCTATCCCTCCCCACTTATACCTTCTCAAGGAAGGGGGCTTCCACTGTCGTATGCAGAGGGATATACCCAGCACTGTTGCTGTGGGAGGAAGCCTGAAGTACATTATTTCATTGGGTTGGTGTTGCAGAGTTTTGCTAAATAGCTTAGTCTGGCCTGGAACTGGTTTTGTAGCACAGGCTGACCCAAACATGATCCTCCTGCCTCAGCCTACCAAGCAGTGGGATTATAGGCCATTTTGCCCAGCAGGTTTTTATGGGGTGTTTGTTTTCACACAGTCTCTCACTCTATAGTCCAGGCTGGCCTTGAGTTCATGGTGATCCTCCTGCCCTAACCTCCTGAATGCTTGGGTTACAGGTGAAAGCCACCATGCTTTTGGGGTTTTAAAAACTAGAAGCAGGAGATGGAGAGATGGCTCAGTGGTTAAGAACACTGACTGCTCTTCCAGAGGCCCTGAGTTCGACTCCCAGCAACCACATGGTGCTTACAGCTATCTGTAAGGGGATCTGATTTTCTCTTCTGGTGTGTGTGAAGACACAGCACTCATATAATTAATGAATAAACAAAAGAACTAAAAGCAGTTCACTTTTCCATTCTCTAGACACATGGTATTGCCAGGGCTGAAGACAGAGCACTCATATAATTAGATAGATAGATAGATAGATAGATAGATAGATAGATAGATAGATAGATAGATAGATGGAGAGATAGAATGTTTCTAGACACACGGTGCTGCCAGGGCCAGGGGTGACTTCTTGGGAAAAGGCTGAGCCAAAGTCCCATAGCTAGTGCCCACTATGTGTCCAGGGGCTGGAACTTCCCCTCCTGCCTTCCTGCTTTGTGGATTTCACTGCAAATCCCAAAACTCTGCTCTGCAGACTGCAGCTTCTAAGATTTTGCTTGCCATATCCCTCCAGGTCACCTGCTAACCCTGCTCAGCCAAACAGTCTGGAACCCAGTCTGGAGACAGACCCAGCAGAGGAATCAGGCCTGTACTGGTCTGGCTCCTGGATCAGGCTCAAGTTGTGGCCATCTCAAACAGGTAGCAGGAAGAAGGTCCTCCCGACTGGCCCGCAGGAGTTGAAAACAAGGTTGTGTCCTTCCCCATCCACAGGGCCTCTACCACCAGGTCACCCAAGTCCTCTGAAACAGCTCCAGTACCACCTCCCCTCTGGATCCTTCTGCCCCACCTGTTCCTGAGTCCCTTCGAAGCAAAGGAAACCACAGAGACAATGGTGGAGGAAAGGAAGGAGGCAGTTAGACTGCCTTGGTGAGTGTGTAGGCCCTAGTGCTGTGTGACCTTGAGAAAGTTCCTCAACCTCTCAAGTCTCTGGAAGGCTTGATGACATGGATACTGTTGTCAAGCCCTCAGAGATCCCAGCTGCCCTGCTGAGGCATTGCTGCAAAGCATGGCTGTGCAAACCTGAAACCTGGCACCTGGGCAGCGGGAGGACAAGTTTGAGGCCAGGCCGAGCTACAATGTGAGACTCTTGACTCAAAAGACAAAGGGAAGGGGGAAGACTGCAGTTGGGATTGTGTGTCAAGCCTTGAAGCTGGCCCTCAGCACCCGCTTTGGCTGGCTGCCACAACTGCCCTTCCTGATCCCCATCTCCACCCCTGTGTCCTTACATAATAGAAGAAACGACTAATCGCTTCTGGGACAATTTCGGAAAGAAAAAGGAGGGAAAGGAACAGTTGGACCTTTTCACTGAATTCATTACCTTGCCCTGCCATCATTCACAGTGTGCAGAGACCTGGCTGGCTTTGTGTCCACAACCACTAGCAATCAGCTGAGGCAAGGCTTGAACTCCCATGTTACTCTCTCATTCATTCTACCTTCCCAGAAGATGGTGATGGCTTTTCCCTTATAGTGTTCTGCATCATCTGACAATTTCAGGACCTCTAAGACCAGAATCAGCCAGAGCCCCGTTTAGGGTACAATGGAGAGTAATGCTGAGCTCCTTGTACTCTCCCAGAGCCCTGGCTATCAGGCCCTGGACTGCCATAGAAATGGCCTTGGCCAAGATGGTTATTTATTTTCTAACCTGACCCAGGCTTGCATCTGTTTGTTCTGAACAACAGGCAGGGAAGCCTCATGCCCCATCACAGACAACCAAAGAAATCAGCGCCATGGATCCTGGGTCTGAGAGCAGGCTTCAGCCCAGGTGGCTATGAGGCATTCTGCTTTGCATGCAGCCGCTTCCCAGGTGGGCAGCCCAGGCCTCCTGTCTGTTCTCAGATGTTTTCCTCGTGTGTAGCCAGCACGGCCCACCATCTTACAGTGACCCTGTTCTGCTGTAGCCAGAATTTAGGGTTAGCAGAAATAGTTCTCAGTGGGTGAGAGGCAGGACAGCACCACTGAGAGCTGTGCCACAGTCTTCATGCCCGAGAGCAGCGTGTATCTACCCCACCCATGGGCCGGAAGTCACAGCCAGTTGTCCTTTCAGCCATTCCAGGATGTCGGCAACCCTCCACGAACACCTAAGCTTAAGCATCCATGGGCTACATCTCCATGGGTATCTACGCAAGGAAAGTGTGTGGGAAGGAGCCAGGTTAGGCAAGGTATGCACTGCCTAAGAGATCCGTCCTAACAAGGAGGTGGGCATCATGGGGAGGTTCAAAGAGCTCAGAAGTTCCGAGGCTGGAGAGATCAGTAGAGAGGACCTGACTATGGCCTGCTTTTCCTCTTGAGGAGGAGGCCTGTGGAAAGTCAGCAAGCTCCAAGCTCCACTGTTTGGAAAGCACTTCCAGGGCTCTTGTTCTGCACCTCAGAGACACCCAATGTAGGAGTGGGAGCATGGCCGCGGTTTCCAGCCAAGCCCGCTGTTTTGCAGCGGATGTTGAGAGTACCAAGGTAGCTTCCCCAACGTGCACTGAGTTCCAGGGGCACAGGAACATATGGCTGAGAGCAGTGTACAAGGCCTGGCCTTGTGGGCAGTGGCTTTGGCCACCCACTTGGCCTGCGCCTCCCTGATTTCTGATGGCAACAAGCAGCTACTAGACACAGGTGTGTCTGTGAGACACTTGGTCACTGGTTGCTGGAGCAGACACCTTCTCACTCTGGCTGAGGGCAGAAGATTTCTAAGGAGTTCCCAGATCTCCACAGACGCAGGCTCAGCACCAGGAAGTGGGCTACTGTTTATTCTCCAGATGCCTGACCATTTAGGTGGCCAGTCTAAAGCCCAGTGGTAGCACCCACCCTGTCAGGGCTTCACCCTGAGGACAAGCCCCCACCCTGAGCAAGGGTCGCAACCCAGGTGGAAGGGGCCAGTCTCTGAGAACCGCTCCCCTCTAGTCTGCCTGATTGAAGGCATCTCTTCCTGCCCAGAGCAGAGGAGGCCAAGAGCAACAATAAACCCGGGATTCCATACAGAACAGAGTTAATTTAACCCACATCTGCCCCTGCCCCAGCCATTCTATTCCTAAGTGAAAAGATGCTAAGAGAAAGCATGTATAAGAATGTTCCTAATAGTCAGAGCAACTTGTACTCCCAGCAGGTCGACAGCGGGTTAAACTAACTCTAGGTCACACACAATGGAAGCAGAAGCAGGAGGGTCATCAGGAATTTGGGCCCAGCCTGGGCTACAGGGTGAACCCCTGTCTTAAGCCCAACCACCCTCAAAAAAAGAAACAACCAAAGATGCACTCCCTGGCTTCAAGTTGGTCTAAAATTGGTCATCAGGACCTTATGTTCTTGGCTCACAGACAGACGTACAGGCCGGTGGAGTAGAAATGGGTGCCCATTTGTTCTGTCAATAGGTTTTTTTTACAAAGCGCTCAGACTGGTCAGAGGAGAAAAGATAGTCTGTCAGCACATGGTGTGTCCCCATGGCCAGGAGATTTAAATGGATTGGTGACCTTTGCCTGCTGGTTCCCACCTCAAGTGTGAGTAAGACCTGTGGCAGGGCTATCACTCCCAGGGGCATAGTACATATGCCCTAAGCAGCTGCTGCAGACTGCCCTTCCTGGCTGATGAGGAAGCGGGTATACTTGGGAAGTTCATGAAAAAAGAATCTGTCAGGAGCCTGCAGGAGCGGAACATGGCCTGCGACAAGTTGGGCTCTTGCTCTTACAACCGTAGGCAATGAGTTCTGCCAGCAACTCAGATGAACTGGGAAGTGGATTCCTTGCTGGTGTCTTAGCTAGGATTTTGTTGCTGTGAAGAGACACCATGACACGGCAAATCTTATAAAGGGAAGCATTGTCCCGGGGCTGGCTGGCTTACAGTTTCAGAGATTTAGTTCGTTATTGTCATGGCAGGAAGCATGGCAGCATCCAGGCTGACATGGTGCTGGAGAAGGAACTGAGAGCGTTACACCTTGATTTGCAAGCAGCAGAAGGAGACTGTGTGTCACACTGGGCAGTTTGAACATACATAACCTCAAAGCTTATCCCCATAGTAACACACTTCCTCTAA